TTACCCAAACTGGGCAAGGTATGTCCTAACCAAAATACTGTAAATGTTCATCTGGCACTTAAGTTCTCGAGGCTATGCAGCAACTGTGACATCTTATGAAGCTGAGAAAGCGCTTCGCAGGAAAGGTGTGGCGAATCTTGCAGTCCCAAACAGCCACTTTATCTGTTGAAGTGAAGCAAAAGCCCAGTCAGCTCCGAACAAGGTGTCGACGATGGATGTAGAAGCCAGCTGCAAATCCCGACAAGTCGGGGTGCCTATGTCATAGTTAGGTCATCTAAACTACATCCGAAATCCTAAACCTGAGACCCTGAACCGTAATCAAGCCCAAACCTTGAACCCCGGGCCCTAGACCCTGAAATCTCAACCCTCAACCCTCAAACTATACCCTTCAACCCTGAACCCTGAAGCTTCAAGCAGGTGACGTCGGAGGATGACTTCATTCAGTTGGAGCCCTGGGCCGTGCCTTGCAGCAACCTCTGGATCCTTGGTGGCAGTGTTTAATATAGGGGCCTTAATAATCAGAGTATGTTTTTGGGGTATACTATACTATAAGTAGTTCTAACCAGGAACCTGCAAAACAGTATTGGTAATTACTTAGGCCCCTATAGTGGGCCTTAAGGTGTAGTTTAGGGTTTAGGCTTTGGTTGAGGGTTAGTATTGAAGCTTCGGCAGGCGATTCGCATGACGGGTGTTCGCTCTTATCGGGTTGCGTAATATAGGGGCCTTCATGATTACCTATACTACTTTGGGGAGTTCCTTATTATTTCTATATTCTAATATACCCCGAAGCCCGATTCTACTTATTAAGACCCGTACATTATGTTGTATTCCTGACCTTAAAATTTAGCGGGTCATCCACGTTTCGTTTTGTGCTTATCATTCTGGCTGCATGACTTGATTCAGGGTTTAGGAGCTAGGACCTAGGATTTGTTCCCTAAGTTCGATCGTGCTTGAAAGCAGGCTCCCTATCAAAACTACCGGAACCTTACTATACCCTAGAACTAGAACCCTGTTCGACTTATTAAGGCCCCAATACCTTTAAATCCAAGGGTTAAACCCTAGAACCCTAAACTGAACCGGATTTAAAGGTATTGGGCCTATGACCCTAAATACCTGTAAATCCTAGGGTTTAATTTAGCCCTATCCATTAGATTGAGTGCTTCTCTCTTTGCAGATGCCGGGCTGCTGGGGCGTGTTTTTTTTGGTTACGGGGCCTGTGCTGCAGATCAAGGGACCTCACCCTGAGGGTCCATGCGCCCCAATGGTATATACTTAGGCCTTACAGGAGTCCCTATTTAAGTACTTTTGGAGGCCTATTATATATACCCTAAACCCTAAACCCTAAACCGATATAGGCGGACATCGACCCTTAGGGTAAGGACCCTACGACCCCCCTAGTTTCGAATAGCGTATACTAGGCGACCACTGCTTCACTGCGCTTCGTGACAGCCGAGTATCCAGGTTTTGGGTAGTTCGACCCCTCGGATGCCCTAACCCCTAAACCCGAAGCCCCTAAACCCTAAACCCAAAACCCTTAAATCCCTAAACCCCTAAACCCATAAACCCCTAACCCCTAAACCCCTAAACCGCTGAACCCTAAAGCGAACAACGGCCACTTCTCTCGGATGCTGGCTTCCATTTCGCAAGAACTTGGCTGCAATGGGAGTTGTCGCAAGCTCGCGCTTGGCACTGAGAATAACCCATACCATGTCGCCCATGTCTCTAAACGTCTTGAAGACCGGCCTGCAGAGAGCACAAGCCCATTGAAAAAGGATGTGATGGTTCAGGAGGTTCTCAAGGTCATTGTAAAGGAGGGACCATTGGGAATACATTTCCTCACGAATAAAGAGACCTTAATCGAAGACGGAACCTACCTCAAGGACATGAACTTGGAGTGCAGGGCTTCAAGAAGGAGGGACGTTAGATTGTTCCGGAAGTAGGAGTCATATTAGTGCCGCAGAGGGATCCGTCTTAAGTCGTTTTGACCCTAAACCCTAAACCCTAAATCCTTTCATTGGTGTGCTGACAGTATGTCACAGCCCTAAACCCTAAACCCTAAATCCTAAATGGCAACTCAGGATGCAGAAGAACTGGAACAAGTGGCAGGGCTACACCTTCTACAGCCTCTTGGCAGAAGTGGTTGGTTGTGCGCGCATTAAGCTGAAACAGTTTCAGCTGAGCCCTGTGACTTCGGGCTGTTTGTCAGGACCGTCAATCTTAATATAGGGGCCTTCATGATTAGAATAGGGTTTGGGGGTATATCATACTATAACTACAATAAGGAACCCCCAAAACCCTATTCTAATTATTCAGGCCCCTATATTGAACTCTTATAGTAGCCCTTATAGAACCCCTCAAGGAACACTTTAGAGGAACCCCCCAAAACCCCATTCTAATTATTAAGGCTCCCACATGAACATGCAGGGTTTGGGGTGTTCGCCGCAGTCCAGGGATCAGGCTAAGAAGCTCCGGGCTTTCCAACCGAAAAAAAGGCAACACGGTAGGTTAAGGGTTTAGGGTTTAGGTTGGTAGGATCCAGGCCAACTTCAGTGTAACAGGAGCCAGGGCTGTTCGAATCAGCTCCTTACCGTCGTCTCGCTGGCTTAGATTAGGACGTGAAGTTCTAAGTTGCTAGCTGTAGCTACAGTCACGTTCGCATTGCAAGCAAGAAATCAGCAGATCCGCCTTCTTCGCTCCAGCAACATTGCCCCTTCTAGCGCAACGCTGAGCGGGCATTTGCAATCAGACGAAGGCACAAAGTAATGCAGAAGCCTCAACATTTCCAAGTTAGAAGTCTACTATAATCTGCCTAATGTTAAACCTCTTCTAATTACCAAGGCCCCGATTAACACGAGTGCCCTAATGTAGATAGCAGAACGCGCAAGGCCCTCCGATTGCACAGGCCAAGATTTCTTCATCCACTAATAAGTGTTTGTGGCATCCTGTACTTCGTATTATGTTGAGGCCCTGATGCCTGAGACCCCAAACCCTCAGTTTAAGCTTAGGCCCTCAACCGCATTGACTTGAGACCCCGACTCCTTGACGCATAAACCCTAAACCCTAAACCCTAAACCCTTAACCCTAAACCCTAAACTTAAGTGCTTCGTCCTGAGAGCCTTAGAGCCTCAGGGACTGAATCGAAAGCAGCTTAGATCTGGGTTTAGGGTTTAGGGTTTAGGGTTTAGGGTTCTTGTGCAGAGGTTCCAACATCAACCACGAGAATTAAGAATTCCATAGTGGTTGAGGTTTCTCCTAAATAATGCTGGGATTGCTGGTGCCATGCATGTAGGTATGTGTGTTCTACATAAGCATGCGACCTTAAACCTGGCGCCTAACATAGGGGCCTAACTAATTTCCAATACTTTTGTGGGAGCTCCTTATTACAATTAATGTATAATGGGCCCCAAAACCCTGTTTTAGTTATTAAGGCCCCTATACTATGTGTGTTCTACATAATCATGTGACCTTAAAACTGTCGCCTAAGCCCAAACCCCAAACCCTAAATCCTAAGCCCTAAACCCTAAACCAAACCAAACCAAACCAAACCAAACCCACATCCCGAGCATTTCCGAATGGTCACGAGGCTGGGAGATGCCTCTGGAGAAATGTGTGACTGCGACTCGACGACGCCCATAGAAGTTTCGACGTTTCGGTCTGGTTTCGGGTTTGGTGTTTAGTGTTTAGGATTTGTATAACCCTACCGGGTTCGGGGTTGAGGGTTTATACGGCCCTACATCTCGATTTTAGGGCTTCGTTCCCTGATCCCTTAGCCAGAATATAGGGTTGCGGCTTTAGCGTTTACGGTTTAGGCCTTAGATAGTCTTCAGAATAAGGTTGTGGTTCATACCAGAGCATCCCAATCATCTTATTAGGTGCTATGCTACTAGCAATTAAATGCTACATCCTGGAACCCCATGCTTAAACATCCTAAGGCCGAACTCCTAAAGTCAAGCTTCAGCCCTCGACCCCTGCCCCCAAAGTCTATCAGTTTCAATCGTACCTATGTTGCGTGTAAGCCCTACGAGTTCTGCCTCCTTTCTGCGGTTTGTTGCCGCAGAACTTTCAAGACCTCTTTCAGTTTGTTACAAGTAACCCTAAACCCAA